CCGTCGCCGCAGAGCCTGTGGAGGCCAGCACAGGGCTGGCCTGGCTGGCTGTGGGAAGCATGTGCTTCTTTATCGCTGGTGAGCAGGCCGCCAGGGAGGCCCGCAGCTCTGGGCCCTGCCTGGCCTTGGTGCTGAATGAACCACTCTGTGTGCACTTCGTGGGCTGCCCACGGAGCTGTGCCCTCGGGGTCAGAGGCCCAGACCCACCACCCGCTCTGCTGTGAGAAAGATGAGCTGTCTGCTCTCCAAGAGGCATGGTTTGGGGAGCCCACCGGGGCGGGGCTGCTCTGCTCCACAGGACCGCTGTGCTTCGTAGTCGACTCCATGAAGGGGGGCTGGTTTTTTGGTTCGGTGTTCATGTCAAGTCATCAACAACCCTCAGACCAGACCCCCACCCCTACCCCCCATGATCCCAGATGCAAAGTCTGACACACAGGGAGGGACCAGCCCAGGCCTCAGAGCACGAAGGCGCCAAACTAGTGGGACCAGACTGGGCCCAGGACCTTTGGGCACCCAGGCCGCTGCCCTGTAAGGGCTCGGCGTGGCCTCTGTGGGTCCTAACCCCTGTCTTGGCCCCTCAGGCTTTGCTCTGGGCTGGGGACCCATCCCCTGGCTCCTGATGTCAGAGATCTTCCCCCTGCACGTTAAGGGGGTGGCCACCGGCGTCTGCGTCCTCACCAACTGGCTCATGGCCTTTCTAGTGACAAAGGAGTTCAGCAGCCTCATGGTAAGTGTAGGTAGGCCTTAATGGCCTTCCACCTCACCCCGCCCCCGCCCCCAATGCCATCAGCCACAAACTACCAGGAAAATGACTTCTTGCAAAAGGCTGGGTCAGGCACCAGAGTCCCCTCATGACCAGGACGAGGGAGGTGGCAGACGAATAATGAGGGGTGAATTGCAGGGAGGCTGGGCAGGGACAGGGGACCTGAGCCCACCTCACTCAGGTAGGACTACCCCAGGGAAGACATCCAAGAGACCACGACCAAGGCTGGCCTGGGAAGAGAGGGATGATGGGGAAGAAAAGAGGCCCAGTGGGGGGCAGAGAAGTGTGCCCGTATGAGAAAGGCTTCATGGGGTCACCAGGTCCGGAAGGAAGAGAAGCTTCTGTCACTAGGGCTGGGCTGGAGCCGGGGCCATGCTCGCCCCTCCCTCCAGGCCCTGGGCCCTGGGCGTCTGTGTCTCCCCAGGCTGGGCTCGCTCTGCACACCTCCTCCTCCCGCTAGTCCACCCTTCCATCCCCAGCAGAGAGAGAGCCCAGAGGGGGTGAGACCAAAGCACGTATAGAGGGTGGTCTCTTCCCCCTGGGATCAGGCTAGAGCCCAGCTGTCCCTTAATGGGTCTTTGACCTGACCATGGGCACGGTTGGCCCAGGCCACCAGACCGCGACACTTGACCTCGCTGCACCACCACTCCCCCACCACCCCCCAACCCCCAGGGCTTGGTAGAAACAGACTGGGCACAGCCTGGGCCAGGTAAGTTAGGTCCAGCGCCTGCTGTCCACACGCGGCCCTTCCCCTCTCTCGGCAGGAACTCCTCAAGCCCTACGGAGCCTTCTGGCTCGCCTCTGCCTTCTGCGTCTGCGGCGTCCTCTTCACTGTGCTCTGCGTCCCTGAGACCAGAGGGAAGACTCTAGAACAAATCATAGCCCATTTTGAGGGCCGGTGACAGCTCCTCCTGTGCTTGGCTGCCCCTCCTCGCCCGGCTGGTTTGGGGCTTTGAAGGGACAAAGCCAGCTCCAAACCCTTGCTGCCCCAGGAGAGCTGGGACCCAGGACCACAGCCCCTTGGAGCCTTGGCTTTCAGGATCCTCCTCCCTGAGATACGAGGTGCCAGCCTTGGTCCAGGGCCTGCTGCCACCCTGCAGATTCCGGAGCAAGGAGCGGCTCGGGGCCCTGGGGAAGCCCTGGGATCGGCCTTCCACGTGCCCATCTCCTGCCCCCCCGCCCCCCACGTACACACCGCGGAGAAGGAGATGGCTCTGGGTTCCTGTCGTGTGGCTGGAGATGCTTCTGGAGGCTGGGTGCTGGGCACCCCGTATTGACTCTGTAGTGGTTGGATTACCAGGAAGGAACTTTGTTTGCCAAATAAAATCTGGCTCGCAAAATTGGGTCACAACCAGTTTGTGAGCCCTCATGTGAGAATGGGATATTCCTCTCTCCCCAAGTGGAGAACATTCTCCTGGTCAGCCAAGCCCACCCTTGCCCCCTGGAAGTCATTTGGGCGCTTCCTTAGACTCCACCCCCGGGGTCACTCGTCATCCATTTTGATGAATTTCAGAAAGAAGGCCTCTTTCTATTAAAGGCTTTTCTAAGTTACCTTTATTATCCATTATATAAATGATCGTGAAGATTGATCATGGAAGTACAGCGATGACGCATCATCAGATGGGTGGGCATCCGTGCCATCAGCGGAAGGCCTTGTAGCGTAAAAGCGAGTTCCCCAGAGGAGAAAGATCCGGCAGACTAGCGTAGCCTGCCAGTTTCCCGCCTGGTCAGCCTTGCCAGCCTCTACAGTCACATAAGCCAGCTCCTAAAGTTTACTCCAACTTCGTGGTGCAGTGAGTTACTGTAAGTTGGCCCTTCTAGCTACCATGCTCTTGTGACTACACAGTGATTGGATGGGACGATGCAAGTAAGGTGCCTGTGGATTACCAAGAGGATTGGACAGTCCTGTCTCAGCCCAGCACAGCACCATCAGGCCCATAAAGAGGGGCACGATGGAGCGTACAGAAGGGCAGGGGCCATAGAAGTTGTGCTTCACTTCACCCAGAGAAAAACATGCCCTCATCACCACCACTCGAACCTCTCTTCCCACCCTCTGCCTTCCACCCACCCACCTGGACAATCAGTCAGCAACCTAAGGGAGGCATGCCTCTTAGTGGTCACGGGCAAAATTGCAACCACTGGAGAGCCATGCGCTCTGCTGCCTTGGGACCAAGGCTGGTAGGTCTTCATGAAGGAGGAAATGGACCACTTGGAGCTGCCTGCACTCCTGGGAGCATCACCCGGTATTCTAGCTCTCTCTCACCTTCCTCCCTAACGGTCCTGGGGACCATGTCCCTCCGGGCCTGATGAGAGCTCTCAAGGAACTTACGTCCTAGCAGAAGCCTTCTGGAGACCAAAAACAAATGTTGGAAAGAGAAGGGGCTGGGGAAGTCGCTCGGAGCAAAGAATAAATGGTGTTTGTTTGTTTTTAAATCGAGCAATACCAGTGTAACAGAAATAAAAGAAGGTTTTTGGTTTTGAACTACCAAGGTCAGAGGACAGGTAAAGTGTGGTTCACACCCACCAGCTACTCCTCAGGAGCAAGTATAGGCTGTCCTGTAACGATTTACAGCCCCGGAAATCATTACAGAGGGTGGATATGAGTCAGAAATCCGTGGCAGTCTAAGGTCATGCTTAAGGGAGCTCACTCCACCTTGACTTCCTGCTGACAATTCACCTGTCCACCCCAGGTACAACTGAGTCCGAATGTGGATTGTAACAAGATCCCCTGGTGATTCGTAGGGATCCCTGGGTTTCTACAAACTTGTAGCCATCAGGGAATTTCATGAGCTGGTGATGCCTGGCACTGCCTCGGCTCCCATGCCCGGGAAATGTGAGGAGGGCCTGGTTTTGCTCTTCAGTTCTTCCTACTCTCTCAGGAAGGAGCTGGGGCATTGTAGCTCTGAGACGCCATTTCCCAGTCTGCTGCCAAGACCACCACAAAGAGACAGTGCCCAACTGCAGTAATATTGGCACTCTGAACATCATTTGCTTTATCCTAGTTATTAACTCATGATTAACCCTCAAAGTGTGAGATGTCAGAGGGAAGGCAGTAGCAAGAGAAATCACTGTGGCACACACACCTGGTTGCAACATTTACATTGATTTCCCTTCAGCAACCTAAGCAAGGAAGGAGCCAATGGGGAGGAGGAGTGGGCCTTAGGGACACAGGCTGCAGTCAAAAAACCACAAACTACGTTGCTTAAAGTGACAATGTTTCCTCCTAGCTCTAGAGGCTAGCAGTTGGAAGTTAGGGTGTTAGCAGAGCCATGCTCTCTCTGAGGCGGGAGGAAAGGCCCTTTCTAGCCTCCCAGTTTGTGGTAGGCCCAGGCGTTACCTGGCTTGTGGCTGCATAATTCCTATCTCTACCAACGTCTTCACATAACCAGCTTCCCTGGAGTCTCTGTATAGAAGCCCACTCAAATTGGAATTAGGGCCCACCCCAATCCAGCATGACCTCATATTAACGACAGTGATTACAATCTGCAAAGACCCATTTTTTCCAAATAGGGTCCCATTCTCAGGCACCAGGCTTTGGGGCTTAAACCTTTTGGGGGCGGGCAGGGGGGGGGGGACATCTAGCAATCCATCACACAATTCTCTGAGTAATCACAGCACTGCACAGCCAAGCACAGGGACAAGCCCAACTCCTCATTCTGCAAAGCACGAGAACCACGCTTCCCAGGATCCTTCGCCGTCCAGTCTACTGCCAAAGAGGCCTCCGGCCTTTGGATTCGGTGGGCCTAACGGGCATCTGCGACAAAGCACTGAGGAGAAATCGATTCTGGGTGCACGATCAGGAGGGACCCTCCACAGGAAGAGCGCTCCAGGAGTGTGTGCCCTGGGAACCAAGCTTGGCAGAGGCTTCTGGGAAATGGAGTTTTGTGAGGGAGGCCGCAGTGGGGCTAGTGCGCATGACCGGAAGTACGGTTTTTGCAGCG